TTTTTATCACTTGTCACGACAACGATGCCAGATCCCAGAAAACAGTTCTGGGTTATCTTAATCTTACGTCTATTGGCGGAACTAAAACCCTGAGGACAGATTGCTTATTTGCCTCATTTACCATTTGCACCTTGCTTTGTAAAACTGCTGGTGGGTTTGATTTTTTCTTGATAATTTGGACATGTTTTACCATTCTCGGATTGATGCCCAAACCGCCTGGGAGATAATTTGGTCAACCAGGTTATAGCGGCCACACCCTTTCCCAGGCTTGCTACGCGGCTAGAACCAGTTCCTGGCTCTGCGCGTAGATGTGTCGGTTCTAGCACTACGCAAAGCTGTATTCATGTATCATCGTGCCGGTTTCTGGATGATGAGATGAGTTTAGGGAACTAAATTGAAGCTGTCTGTCCGGAGCCTGCGTAGGTTGTAAATTGTTTCCCCATACATTCATATACGTGACGCGGATTAGTTAGTAACCAATGCAACCACTGTTTTGGTGTTACATGTAGCATTTCCCCTGCTTACAGCCATAAGCATTAATGTGAGCAGCATTTATGGGCAAAACCGTGTAAAATTTAGCCACAAAGTTTGCCTTGTCTGGCTGGTGCATACTCACTAAAGCTTGTGACCCGTGGCCACTCAATGCATGCGTGTGGTAATTATTTCCATTGTTCCACTGTTTGCTACCAGCAGTGACCTTAATGAGTTACCCACTTGAAGACCATTGACTGACGTGCCATTAGGTCGTGCTCTTTGTTCTGCAGGCTGTTCTCGCCTGTTTGAGAACAGAACATCCATGCCACCTACTTTGACTTTTTGAGAAAAGGTGGTCAAGTGTCTTAAAGCCCGGAAAATAACCCCAATTTCTGACCTCGATTTCCACGGTTCTGCTACGCTCATTTCCCTTCCCTCATGCTGTGTCACGTGGGTGGAACAACAGCCCAAGCGCTACCCAGGTCGCCACCCAGGTCGCTACCAAGAACGCTACCCAGGTCGCCACATTCCAGCACTTGCACGGGACGCAGCACGAGCAGGCTGGATCCCACACTCAGCCTGACATAGTCCCAGTCAGCGGGGTGCCGATGGCACGTGCGACACCGACAGCAACGAGGCGCTCGATGTACTGGATGATCGTGATTACCGACTGGGACCGTCCTTCGTGGTCGCCAATCCCGTCTGCTATATCGTCGTAGTCGTGCCCGAAGGACAGAGTAGGATGCGCCACCTGCCAAAAAGCACTGGCGAGTCGTCGGGAGTCGGACGACCCTACATCCGTATGCCACCGTCTGTGGCTGAAAATCGCGGCGAGCTGCGCTGCTGAATCTCTCACCAGGAGCTGTCAAGAGGTGGTCCCGATTGCTGAGGAGGAGCTCAGCCGCTACATCGTGCAGCTGGACGTGGCTTGCCATGCAGTGCCCAGCCGGCTGCTCTGGAGAGCGCGGTGGTGCGCATCGCATGGACACCGATGACTTGTCATATCTCAGCCGCCACCTCCTGAAAACCCAGTGCGGTTCGGAAAATCTCCACACCGAGCAGGTTAGGACGATGGCGGCCACCAAGCGACCGGTGTCTTGACATTATCAGGCGAGGCTGCACAACCTATGCCTGCAGAGGAACAGGATTTTCGGATTCACTCATGTCTCTTTAGGGTTGGCAGGAAAAAATGACTGCGGTGTGAGCAAGTGCTGATGGCTTTATTTCTCGTAGAATAAGCAGAAAAATGGAGAGATACCGTCTCATCTATATATGCAATGCTCCTCGCAAATGCACGTGCAGCCTACAACGAAATGAATGTTTTGATATACGATGTCATAGTATATAAATTTGTGTGCGACGCTTCATCAATGCTATGCACCAATTAACTCTGTAATTGTCGATAGTTTAGTTAAGCTTTCACTGTCAATACGCAGAAAAAGTGTGCGCGAGATCGAGACATTTTTCTTGGGTCACCTTTGTGGCGCCTCGCGACGACCCGGCCAGCAGCTTGCACGTACCTGCCAGCTGGTCAGGTGCCGCAAAGGGCATGTGGAGACTGCCTGTTGAAGGACAACAAATCTGCTACACGTACAATTTTTGGGACAATAATGAATATATTGGATCATGGAATACTGCGGCGTTATGAAATTGCTAGGGAACAAGCCCAATTGGCGCCTGGACAACGTTATTTTCCATGTTCTTGATGCATTTTCCATGTTCTTGATGTCCTGCTTCTTTGCTGCTTTACTCCACGCACATGCGGCAAATGCAAAATTGGCGCTATTTCAGTGTTTTGATACTTAGTTGGGGGTAGAGTTTATACTCACGGAGAAGAACCGTCGTTCTTTTCAACATCGCTTTCAGCAGTGTAGCGTGTTAAGGAGATACCTATCGGGTTTTCTTCTCATGGATCAAGTTCAATGTTAGCTTGAAATGTCAAATGATATTTTGGTTAGCTGTGGAAAGAGATTGCTGATGATCACCTGTCTGAATGTCCTCTCTAGCTAGAATTTTGTCGACTGATTTATGTACGGTGTGTGTATTTGTACCTCAATTTGCGTTATATTATTATTGAGCATTATTGTGCAACGCCATTTGCAGTGGAAAACAGTTGAGACAAGAAGATGGTAAAGATGACAGTAGATTCTTTAATATGGATGCCTGTCTTCTTCCAACCCATGTACAAAAACCGTTGCATATCGTTTAGGTGCTATGAATTATGGATCGCCCAAGTTTACCACACAGTACTATTTTCGCTGATCAAGCATTTTATGGATAGGTATAGTAGCACATTTTTGTTGTCTGCGCGTCATTTCAATTGCTTTGTAGGAATCTACATTAGCTTGAAGGCTATGCATGTGGCTTGCTCCAGCAAAAAACAAATTTCAGCAAAGAGCGTGCGAGACGGACGCGGGATTTCCAAACAAAGAGTGTCAGCACTACTACGCACCGGACAGCGGAGGCAAGGAGAACGCTCCACGGCGGAGGGCACCGCCACTTTGGCTGCGATGATGTGGTGACGTCACGTGAGGGCCTGTGCATTAGGTGGTCTGTTCGCATTATAGGCGGCCTGCCAGCCCCAGTGCGCCGGCTTAGATCGTCCAAGGAATGTTGCAGCAATAGCAAAAACACTGTAATTGCAACAGCAATAGCGCGGCAGAAACACTGTAAAGCATGTCCACATGTACGAAGACGTGGTCTCAGATTTATGACTGCTGTTTTCTCTACGCAGAAAAAACTTCAGACCGTTGACATGCCTTTGGGTCGATCTTGGTGCCTGAATTCGACCTTGGCTTGAGGCCTGCGATTGACACGACCGCCAACTTGGATCATCCGCATACCTAACGGACGACGGCTGGGTGCGGTGTCGATGCTGTCCCGGTACTCAGACGGGATTTCCTGCCGACTGGCTAACGCAGCGCACGGCCGACGGCCGCACCATGTGCTCGGTCAGGCGGGCCGTTGCAAAGATGTAAGATAGCTGGTGGCGGATGTAAATAACGGAGGATGGATGCGGACGCGTGGTGACGCAGGCGCAGGAAGTGGGTCGGGCTGAACAGGGTGTGAATTATTCATTATGTTGGCACCAGATATGGAGCTGGCAGCAAACAGCAAACAATGCCTCGCCCACTTAGCGTGAAGCTTCAACTTCATACTTAACATCGATTTTGCGACGTCGGTTGTAATGACTTTCTGACTGTTGGACAAAATTTCAACGCGCTTAGTATCGACACGCAAAATAATGTCACAGTGGTATGCGAAATATCGACACGTAAAAGACGACTCGACAAAAATTGACGACTTTAACATTTATTCCGCACAATCTTGACACCGCAAATTCAAGATCTGGACAGTTCGAGGCATGGCCGTTCATACATCTAACACAAATTGTTTAGATACGGTTGATAAAACGCTAGTGATTACTAGAGTTATCACCAGCGTTCATTACAACGGAGAGAAATCACACGCCAAGTTCATCAGACATAGCAAAATCAGTCCTGTCAAAGACAAGCCACTGGCCAGGTGACTAGTGGAGAACACATCGAACTCTTGGACTGCAAAATACAATGGCACAGTAGCAGGACAGGTCATGGGGCATGGTCACCAGTAGGGGAAAGTTTGAGCTCATAGCCCTGCACCACATGGCATTCCACCGTGCGGGGCCATTGGTTGGTGACAGTTTAAACTCAAGACACAGTGGCATAACAGGTCAGAGGGTCAGGCTACCATTGGCAGATGGTGACACTCATGAACCACATCACGAGACAGACAACATGGTAAGGTTATTGGTGGAGGCCTCATCAACATGGCATAACTAACATAGCAGTGGCCAAACATTCCAAGGGCTAGATCCAAGGGCAGGGATGCGTTTGAGTTATGGATATCATTGAGGTGTGCAGATATCATACCTATGTATCTCTGGAAAAAGCCGTACCGGTCAGAGATTCTGTGCTCATTACGTGCGAAGATTAAACGGCAACTGTGGGCAAAATCTATAGTCAATCTGATGAGTCCCCTGAATATTGAATATGAACCTGAGTCAAGGCAGCCAAGATGCAGTAAGCGCCGCACCGTCACCACAACCATAAAATTAGGAGCGCTATTACATTTCTGATATAGCGAACCGGTCCAAGATTTTGTGTTGATCATAATCAGGTCGTTATCTACCAGCACGGATGGAAAACACAGGGATTTTGGATATAGTTTAAGCAGTCCACTTTTCATCGTTATCTTTTATATTGCTTTATCTCTGGTAAAAGGGCGTACAGGTCCGACATTTCGTGTTCATTGTGTTCAAAAGATTAAACTGCGTCGTATTCAAAGTTTCAAGCGAATCTGAGGAGTCCGATGAATCCCGAATATGCTCCCGAATGTGATTATGAATCTCATGCGAGCTTGACCAACGCGACAAATATGACTCTAGTGGCTCACTTCCAACGCTGCACTGCTTCGCGCAAGGCGCCCCGCGCTGTTATTCGATGCCAAATGTTTGGTAACTAGTAATTTGTTGTAAACGAGGTAGATAGAGGACGCGCGTGAATTGCGGAAGCAAGAATATTCCAGGATGCCGAAACAGGGTGGGCTGATGGGATCTGTCGATTGTGGGATTTGTTTCTAAAATTGTGTACACAGTGTGCATGACGTAACTCAAAATGAAATTATTTTTACGTGGTTCCCTTGAGAAAATAATGCGGTAGCTTGATGTGATGGCATGGTAGTGGTGCAAATGTAGATGGGTCATGTAGAATTCTTTTTGCCTTCGGTATATTTAGACGTAGGGTCTTTGCATGCTTAACTGTAGATCATTGTTGCACCTGCTGGGTGGTACCTTTCAACATACAAGTTCTGTGGACCTATATTAGAACAGTTTGTGTTGTGCATGAATTTATGACATACTTACCAAAGCCAGAATAACTAAATGCCTATAAGATTCAGTGGCAGCATGAAAGGCATTACTTGTAATGAAGCACATGTAATTACAGCCAAGCTGATCAACAGTCTTCCCATCAGCAGTCAATTGCATCACCAGGTTTTGTCTGACCCATTTTCACTCCAGATCGCATGCTCTTGGTCAGTTGCTTGCAGTGCAAGTCAGATCCAATAAAATGGTGCATATATATTTATTTTCAACTCTGCAATGATTTAATATGTCATAGGCATCTAGCATATATTAGATAATGAACTTAGCTGTGTGTGCAGTCAAATCTTGTAACACAGGAAGAAGAGCACATGTCATTGACTTTATTTTGCACTACTTTTTGATCTTTGACAATTAAAATTGCTATTCTAAGTAATTGTTATGATTTCCATAAAGTTCTTAGCAGTCTATTTGCACTTGGTGACTCCCATCTCCTGATAGACAGTCACTGGATTCAGACATTCAGTGAACATTCAGTTGAAGTCTCATGTTATGATGAGGTGGTTAGAGTTTTGCTGAAGAGCTGTTGCTGCCTCAGACATTTGGGCACTTTAAAAAAAAATAACTGCAGTGGGAGATCAAGTTCAAATGCCTGACAACTCAGTATTTTAAGAACCATAGGATTCCAGGTGACTCACATGGTTATTTCCCTGCCAGTGGAGCCTGGCATGACTAATCAATGGTATGGATCAGGGGTGACCTTGTCATGTGTAAACAGACAAGCTTTTCATTGTATGTTAGCCAGGTGTGGTGTGCACACAGATAAGAAAAGAGGCACCAAGGTGTTGCGGCGAGCAATGTTTTGCCGAATATGATGTCATATCACTAGGATGTAAATGTTTGTTGTAAGTTGTGGTTTTCAGTGCCTTGAGTTTGTGGTAGCCATATTGGTATGCTCATGATGCTTACTGGATGATATAGAAATAGTGCTACCTGCATATCCACTTTGTGGAACCTGCCACTGCTTCATCTAATTATATATTTTGCAACCACCTTTACAGTTTGTCCATGAGATATCATGTTAATCAGACATGAAATCATTTCAAGCTTTTTACTTCAAACCTGTTTGAGACATTGCCTTCAGTTACTCTGTACATACAACCTGCAGCATTATGCCCATAAAGGTGGCTACGGTCATCAGCGTCAACAATCTTTGGAAGAGACTGTCAGTATTTGTGCATGCTTTGTACTCATTCCCCATGATTTCTGCTACCCCTGAATCCGCTCATCATAACACACTTGGGTGCATTAGTGTCAGTCATCCATTTTTTTGTTTTATGCCATGATTACACTGCAATGTGGTTGTTTGATGTGAAAATGACTCAGTTTCATATGCAATCAGTGATGATCATTCTTAATTTTATCTCTGGTTTCCAGGAATGTGAACAATGTCTGCATGGCTCTTGGCCCTGAGGGGTCCATTTTACAGAAAAGACCCAGCCTCGTTGCTGATTTTGTCTGGAACCAAGTGCTCTGTTCATCACTATGTTAGGCTGTTCAGCCATGAAGGAAAACACACTAAGGTCAGTTTGTGCCTTGTGGGCTTAACAGAACTAGAACCTTTATGTTTGTGTTTGTCTTTATCATGTGTTTGTTTTGAGTAGCTTGGAGCATTGTGCCATTGTGTAATGTCTCCAGTTGGTGATTTGTGTATAGCTTATCTGGAGCCAGACTGTCAGGTTATCTTTCAGTGCCCATATCAAACAGGCAATATGTCATGTCTACTGTATGCTTCCTTTATATTTATATATCCAACATCATTGGCATTGTCATTGGATCCTTAGCTACCTTGTCACTCCAATGCGCATTGTTTCAAGTTTGTTATTAATGAAAGAAACAAAGTAGCTCTGAAGTGGCTCTTGATTATGCTTTATGTGAGAAAAGTGTGAGATTATGTCTTTGGCTGGTGGCTTTTAGCAAAACTGCATGCATGCTTAATTGCAGTTTATTACCTTAGATGGCGCTAATTAGACATGTGCACCTTTCTACAGATTATCTTCTGATGCATCCATATACAGCTTCTTGTTCTCCAATCCACTGAAACCACAAGTAGCATGCTATCAATGGCCTCTGACTGCTCTCCGCCCTCCGCCACCAGGCGCTACTCCTGTTGCCTTCGCACGCGGCCCGGGCCGCCGCTGGCGCCGGACGGATGGCCCGAGTCACGACCTTTGCCCCGCTGGCGGCGCCCGAGGGCAAGGGTCGGCCTGTCGCCGACATGGTCAAGGGAAGCGACATGGAGTGGCGCAGCACAGCACTGGACTGGCGCCGGCTGCCGCGCTGGTATATGGAGCTCTCCAAGGTCCGGCTGACCGGTGAGTGGCGCGCCATCTGTGGCCGGCCAGGCGGTGCGCCGGTGACTGGCGCGCCATCTGTCGGCCGGCCGGGCGGTGCGCCGGTGACTGGCGCGCCATCTGTCGGCCGGCCGAGCGGTGCGCCGGTGAGTGGCGCGCCATCTGTCTGTCTGCCGGCCGGGCGGTGCGCCGGTGAGTGGCGCGCCATCTGTCTGCCGGCCGGGTGATGCGCCGGTGAGTGGCGCGCCATCTGTCGGCCGGCCGGGCGGTGCGCCGGTGCTTGCGCCGGCCGGCCGGGTGTTGTGAAGCTTCTTGCGCTCGGTGGGTGGATCTCTGCCTCTGAGATGACTGTGACTGCTCTCCGGGTGCCGAGAGGTGACGTCCTTGGTCCGTCCGTTTCGGACCTGTCAAGGGTGGTGGAGCTCCGGCTTTGTGGACACGGATCGTACCCAGATTTAGACGTACCAGGACTGGTGGTGGTCATTAGGTTTGCCGACCCGTACCCACTTTTCTGTGAATACGGGCCGGTGTTTTCTTTTTTGTTTTTGTTTTTACGCGTCAGTGTTTTCTAACTGCAGTTCTGGTGAAACCCTAAGGCTGCATTATGTGCTCTGTCACTGTTTGTGTTGCCAGACGTGATGGTGGTTGCTGGCTGCGCTGTTCACGAATGGGGGTGGAATTCCGCGCTTTTTTGGACGGGCCTCGGCCCTTATGCTCCCCAGTCCTTGTTTGGGTCTGTATATGCAAAACCCAAATCACAGAAAAATAATTTGAGACATCCAACAAAACCCTGTGGCGAGAGATGTTGCATTCCGCCCCCCCCCCCCCCCCTCTTTTTCCGCTCCCTCAGTGCATTCAGTGAAGTGTTGCTTGTAGTGTTCACCATCCACAACCTACCAACAGCATGACGCTGGCCGGCTGATCAGAACATCCCTGTGTCATCATTGGTTCAATCAATGTCCAATCATCCTGCTTCTTGTCCTGGAGTGCAGTGGCCGTGTGACCCTGCTGACTGCCTCCCCCCCCCCCTCCCTCCCTCCCCGTGTTGCAGGGCTGGTGGTGGTGACATCCATGGCTGGCTACGCCATGGCTCCGGGCGTCTTCTCGGGCGCCACCCTGGCGCTGGTGACCGGAGGCACCCTGCTCACCTCGGCGGCCGCCAACGCCGTCAACCAGTGGCTGGAGGTGCCGTACGACAGCCAGATGGCGCGAACGGCCGCACGGCCCCTGGTCCGCCGCCACGTCAGGTGAGGGCGCGCGCAGGTCACGGCCAGGTCAGGTCAAGTCAGGGTCAGGCTAGGGTCAGTGTGGAGGTGGCACGGCCGGTGCCTGGAGCAAACCAGGTCATTGTTGAGTTAGATCATGCTCTTGACATACCAGGTCATGTCATGCCCTGTCGGATCAGGTCATTTCATGTCATGTCTTGTCAGGGCAGTTGGTCCACTAGTGCTATCTGTGTTGTTCGACCAGCCTCATCACTTACCATCCATCTGCCATGTAAAGGTAAAACTCAACATGTTGATTCTCAGCCATTTTGTGCTTTTGATGTCCCCTGATTTGTGTGCTCATGCTGCATTTGGTCATTAAAACCATCAGTTCAAATTTTCACCAGCTTTTAGTCCATTCTTTTAGCTAAAAACATGTGCAAATTTGAGCCATTGGCTTAGGTATCTGAATTCAGCATGAGGAAATGAATCAGGTGACATAAAAAACGTAAAATGGTCAGAAATGAACAAATGTGGTTCTACCTTTGGATGGCAGATATGCAACCAGCCCGACCCATGGCAGTTTGTCTTGAGTGTGCTATTTTTCACGTGACCAGCCTACCATTTGTTGTTTGACCAATATAATCTATGTCATCTCACCAGCCAACCATGTGTTGTCTAACCAGTCTGCCCCATGTCAGCTGGCCAGTCTGTCCCATGTCAGCTGGTCAGTCTGTCTCATCAGCTGACTAGTCTGTCCTGCACCACCTGACCAGCCTCTTATGTGTCAGCTGACCAACCTGCCCCATGTCAGCTGACCAACCTGTCCCATGTCAGCTGAATGAACTGTCCAATGTCAGCTGGCTGGTCTCCCATGTCAGCTGACAGGTCTGTGCTGTGTCAGCTGACTAGTCTGCCCCATGTCAGTTGACTGGTCTGTCCTGTGTCAGCTGACCAGTCTGTCCTGTGTCAGCTGACCAGCACGTGTCCCCCGGCAGTCCGCTGCACGCGGTCACGTTCGCCGGCGCGTGCGTCAGCTCCGGCGTGGGCCTGCTGTACCTGGCCAGCCCGCTGGCGGCCGCGCTCGGCGCTGCCAACTTCCTGCTGTACACAGCCGTCTACACGCCGCTCAAACGGGTCACCATCGCCAACACTTGGGTCGGCGCCGTCGGTGAGGGATGGCCTGGTGCAGGCGGTGTATGGTTTGGAGTTGCGCTGGAGGGGACGACTGCAGGCCGTGGTGAGGGACTTGGTGCTCGGGTTGATCGCGTGGTGTCCGTTGCGAGGTGCGGGGAATCTGTGGCTGGGTCTGTTTAGTCATGGTTATTTGTTGGGTGATTGTTGCCGCACTAGCGAGACCGAAGTCGTCCGCACGTCGCACGTGGTCACTATTGACACGACTGACACTCTTCTTCGTGACACTGACAAGACACACTCGTCGCCACGACTGACGCTCTTCTTCGTGACACTGTCACCCTTGATCGCCTTTGGTGCTATTACGTTTGACACATGTACTGTTAACGCCGTCGCTCAAGACACTGATGAAATCTGTGTAATCTCGCCCTATGGCACCGTTAGCAATCAGCCGCTGTCGGCCTCGGTGCCACTCCCCGCGCGACGCCACCCACAAGGCAGCGCTGTGTGACGGTGGGGGTCTGCGCCTGCGGCAGTGGGTGGTGTGCCGCCCCTCATGGGCTGGGCCGCCGCCACCGGCACCCTCGCGCCCGGCGCCTGGCTACTGGCGGCGCTCCTCTACGCCTGGCAGTTCCCGCACTTCAACGCCCTCTCGTGGAACCTGCGCAAGGACTACGCGCGCGCCGGCTACCGCATCATGGCGGTCACTCACCCAGGTCAGAGGGCATTGGGGTCACGAGGGGTCACGGTGGTCATGGTGCGCGCAGGATGGGGTCACTGTGTGGGTGAGAGGATAAGGGTGAGATGGTGTAGTGAGGTCACAGAATAAGGCGTATGAGCTGGTGTGTATGATGCAATACTAGTTGGTCGTCGTGGGGAATGAGTGGTCCGCGTTGAGAAAGCTATCTTGCGAGGACAGGCTTTCGAGTTGTGTTGGCTTGGGGGGGGGGGGGGGTAGGGGTACGGATGAGGACTTGTGCACAATATGTAAGGTCCACCACTCATGTAGGGCTTCTCTGAGGTAGGCACTGAGCTGTAGAGCTGATCCGCCACATGTTGGATGGCAGGCCTTCTGCTACACTTTGTGCACTATCTTAACACACATTAGAAACTATTCACACTGGATTTGCTGAAGGCATGTACTTTATCGATATTAAACACCGTTGGGTTTCAAGTTCTACAATTTTGGGGGATGCAAGGCTGTTGTTTCAAGGCTATTGTGACTGCCTTTGTGAGTCAAGGGCGCCTGTTGACGCAGATGCAGAATGCAGTGAGTGCGTCAGTGTTTCTCGGGTTTGAATCTTGGCCAGGCAAACCAATGGGCAGCTGTTAACCATCGGCGGGCTCAGGTCCAGCACACGTCGGTCTAAGCTGGCGCTTAGGATATTACAATGCATCTCGACTTTGGCTGTGTACATCTGGAATCCCCATCTCCGTCGGCAGCGACCACCATGCAACCCCATGGCTGTGATGAGGGCAGCACTGTATAGCGCGGTGTGGTGTGGTACTTCTGTTTCAGATTTGACCCGCCGCGTGGCGCTGCGGTACAGCCTGGCTCTGGCCGCCCTGCCGATAGTGACGTCAGCCTGTGACGTCACCACGTGGATGTACGCCATCGACTCACTGCCAGTGAATGCTTACCTGGTGTATCTTTGTGAGTATGTTGGCCGGGGTCTCACCAAAATGTTCTATTATCAATCATACCTTCCTCTTGGATCAACTGCTGTCATTATGCCAACCAGAATACCAGGCATAGTCGGGGAGGGGGAGGGGGCTGTTTAGCTTTGTATTGGTCATTATTGACGGTGGTTTGGATACAGATAGCACGTTGCTGTGCTAATAACCCGCAGTACTCTGGCACGTGGCCCACATGAGTGCAGTCATGTGTGCCCAATATATGAATTATGTGCTGTTCCATCATGGGCTTTGGGACAAAAGCGCGCAGGTGTGAGGTGTAAACTTTGTCTGGCAGAAGAAAATACGCAAAAACATGCACGCGTAAGTTTGCAAGGAAATAGTCGTGTGGTATAAAGTGCGCGCGGGAAAGCGTTCGTATTGAAACAAGTCAGCTGGCGTCAGTGACGCGCTCAGGGGGGTCAGGCGAGGTCCTCAACAGGGGCGTCGTCAGGGTGATTGATAATGGGAGAGCACAACAAACTCGGCCGGTGATTTACAGTGGACATGTTTTTTTTTTTAACCCCAGTTCCCTCCATCACAGGGTCACCCCGCACAACCCCAGTTGATTCGAGTTCATATGCGTGACGTCTCTGGGCGTTCAGTTCATGTTGTAGAGAGTTATGTTAGTCATAATACCTGACCCGACCTGTGCCATTACCAGCGTCCACCGCCACTTCCTACCCGATCCTCTCCGCAGTCGACGAGTTGTGGCGCCCCCCCCCCCCCCCCCCCCCGAAGTGGCCGTTCATCCGGTACCTGGCACCAAGAGTGAATTTATGCGTTCCGACACCAATCATGGATTTATGCATCCCAACGTTCAGTACGCATCTCCGTACGAAGTTTTCAATGCCTACTGTCGTAAAACGAACTTTATCCCTGACCGACATGTTTGTACAAACTTTGCGTACTTACATCGGATATGGAAATACGAACGTTTGCTTACGTTCTTTTGTGTGAGACGAACGTTATCTGTGAGTAAAAATATCGCCCGAACATTCGGGTACGCATAATTACCATGTGTCTTTGTCCCTAGGCACTTTTGTCAATACGAATTTTTGCCTTGACGAGCTTAATGCTCTACGTTCCTTATCTTACGAACATAAGGCATACGTACTTTATCCTACGAACAATTGCCACGTGTGCTTTTCCTATACGTACTTTTGTCCGCACCCCCCTCCCCCCCCCCCCCCATCATGATGCCCGGCCGAAAATGGCTCAGGGTTGATTTATCCATGGCCTCCCAAATTTCTTCGCCTGTCGAGACAGTGTTTCATGTCCCCTCGCCGATGTCAAAACACCGCTGCACCGCACCGCAACACCCTGCACCTCTCCACCGCCTTCTACCGTTCGCCGCCCTGTCACGGCGTCCGCCTCGCCGGCAGCGTGGCGCTTCTACCGGAACCAGGAGAGCGCGTCGGCGCGGCGTCTGACGCGCTTCAGCTACGTCCAGCTCACGGCCGGCATCATCCTCATGCTGCTGGCCAAGGCGCACTACCAGAGCGAGCCGGCTCCGGCTCCTGCGGCGGCGCCGGAACCGGAGCCGGCGCATCGCTCTCTCCGGGACTGGTGCATCGGCGAGCCGCTGCTGGAGCGCGGCTGGCACCTCGGCCGACTGCTGGCCGTGGCCGAGCGGAACGCAGAGGCGGCGTCGGACGCTCCGGCAGCGGGGCGCGACGCCGCCGCGCCGGCTGGCGGGGAGGGCACCGTCTCCGAGCTTGCTGGCGGAGAGGACGGCGTCCCCGAGCCGGCTGGCGGAGAGGACAGCGTCTCCGCGCCGGCCCCAGTCCCCGCCGGCGCGTGAGGGCGTCCGGCGCCCGAGCCTAGTCCGAGTTAGCCCGGTGCGGTGCGGTGCCTCTGATGACGACCGCGACGGGTCGATGTGTGGGAGGCTCCGAGTGTGGTGTCGCGCCGCCTCGCCGCCGTTGGGGCGGTGCCAGCCGAGGCACGTTGCGATGTTGTCCGGGCGTCCGTGGGTCACCTGGAACGGCGGACGTCCCGCGGTTTGTGCAGCACCGCCCCTGTTAGAAGGTGGTCCTCGTAGGAGTCGCCCGCGCCTTCGCCTTGATTTGGGTGTATGCATAATATGCGAGTGGTTCTGTATGAAACGAGCATGGCCCTTTGGATTGACTTGACTTGCATTCGGTCACGCATGTTTAGACATGGACATTGCCAGTATCGTGTCATTGACCTGAGAGAACCTAGCGGAGTGTGAATCGGTCCTGAGACGTCTCGTCAGTTTCTGCTCGCTGCTGTAAACAGTAGCAGTTGTTTGGCATGTGCCATGTTTCACGTAACAGGATCCTCTGCGTACGGTGATTCTGTTGGAAATTCTGTTGCGAGTTATCAAAACCCAGGCGCGAAACCGCTGAGTTCTGACGCGGTATGCTGGCCTTCTTTATCAGATTTTGGTATCAGTTGTGTGGTTTGGCGAATGTACTCACTGCAACTGTAAAAACGAAACTGTGAATGTAAAGACTCGCTGAAACCCAGTGGTATGCTACGGTCAGGTGCGAGTCGATTTCGGCGCGACCTGCGTGGTGCATACATTCAAATGACAAGACGCCAGATCGAGCAGGTGAATGGCGCGCTTGCTGTGCCCATTCTTGCTCAGATTGGCATCGGTAATAGGGTGGTACTTACAATAATGTCAACCGTTGATTTGATCGTGTACATGAAACGGTAGCGCTCCGTTTGATGCCGTGCTATCATCAACGACCTTGTACAGGGAGCAGCTCCTGCTGGGCTGCCTTAGTGCTGCAGTGCGCGAAACTGCATATGATTTGGATGGTGCAGTGCGAACAGGCCAAAGGATGTGGAAGGTGTACCTGTATGTAGTTTGACAAGGAGTCTGTCTTTCTGCGTGCGTGACGCATGCAATGTAGTTTTGGGCTGACGGGCAGATCAAGGCGTGTGCATTCAGCATCAGTGACGTTCCGACGGGCGGCGATGCTTGATTTGAATAGATGTCTACAAACCGCGTCTTTTTTCTTCACGCTCGTTTTGTTCTGAGCCATTGAAGGACCAGCTCGGTTCGCGAAGCAAGTTTCGCCAGCGGAAAACGAACCGTGAGGCGCTCAGCGTACCTGCGACCTGGCAGCTGTTGCCAGCGGCTGATTGAGTTGTTCCCCGGGTCGACAGCTCGCGGGAGCTGCTGAACCGCGTCTGGGCATGTCTGCAGGCTCATCGAAGCCCTTTAGGGCGGCAGTCAATAGAGTAAAGATGAAACGAGCCGTGGGGTACTTTAACGGAACTCTGTAATGTCCAGTTGTTTCGCATTCTGGCCACCGTCACGTTCTACCCCCGTCGTCACCTTCAGTGGATGAGCTCTAAGGCGTTCACTTTTGAAAACCCACATGCTAAACGTACGAAGCCATAGCCAGCGCTTACTCCAGCATGACTTTTGAAAAAGCTAACTTCTGTGCATTAATATGCAATGTACGGCGGTTGTGGTTTTAGGACATAAGTACAACTGGAAATGCACGCGTGCATAGAGTGCGTAATTTATAAGTTTTGCATGGAAGAAATACGCACGCGAAAGCTCATAAGCGAATGTACCCATGCCATAAGGTACGTATGTACCACGTTCGTATGCACAAAAACCCGTATGCACAAAGCTTGTGTGCATAAAGTACGTCCACAATTCTCCGTTAGCAACAACAATTGTTCGTGAGCAATTGCCCGTAGCGGATAAAGCTGGTTTGACAAAAATACGTGCGCAAAGATTGTTGAGGAGCATAAGCGGGAAGCCGTGATTATACTCCACTTTGCAGAAATTTTGATCATTGAACCAATCGTTTTCCCCATAGCGAAACATGGAGAAAATGGACTTCCGGGTGTTGAGTGGGAAATCCGATTTACATTTAATCCCAAATCGCGTATCGGATGTCACTGGCGAGTCTACCTGCGGCGTTCCACAAAGGGGCATACTCGCCGCGTCCGTCAGCTGGCGTCAGTGACGCGCTCAAGGACGTCAGGCGAAGTCGTCTACAGAGGCGTCGTCAGGGTAAGGGATATTGGGAGAGCACAACACTCCATCCTAGGGTCATCTCGGAAAGCCCCAATCAATTCGAGTTCATTTGCTGGTCGTCTCATGGCGTTAAATTCATGTCATAAAGAGTTATGTTAGTTATGATACCTGACATGATTTATGCGACTGCCTGCGTCCTCCGCCACCCCTCACCCCTCCTTCTCCAGTCCCGTCCAGAGGCCCCCCCCCCCCCCCCCAGTTTCTGGAGTCTATGGGCCCCACAAGAGCCCACAGGTACAGGGATGGCCCATAAGTTAGCAGTCGAACGGTCGCTGCTTTTGTTAACGCAAAACGCGACAAAGTTGGACATCGTTGGGTCTCCAGACGACCGAGAACGGCGAGCGAAACTGGAGGGCCCATGATCAGACAACAAAAGCTGTCCTCTGATTAAGGGGGTGGTGACTGGGAGTTTTCGAGGCTCAGTACGCTGCCCAGGAACTCTATGCTGTTGCTGTGGACCCTATATTCCCACTTGCGGAGTCAATGCGGTCGTGAATAATCCGTTCATATCTCCCGTCATTAGTTCCAGTCTCTCGGAGGACCGTACACTGTTGTTAGGGCCCTATATGGCAGCCTGCCGGGCACTTTTGATCAAAAGCCCTTCACAGGTCCTTCCCATTTGTCCGAAAGGCTCTTTACGCTATTGCCGGGTGCCCATATGTTGACCCCTCCGTAACACTTTTGGCTACTCAGGGACCCTTCACAACTTCCCCGCTTTTTTTACTTAATCGGAGGCCCTGCGCTGCTACTGGGGCCCATACAGCCTGACCCACCGAGACGTTCGATGCTCAGGGTCCTTCTACAAGAAGTCAGAAATCAGAAGGACCTTACTCTGTTGACGAAAACCCCACATGTGCTCGCAAGCGGCAGCACTCTTGTCACTCATGGTGCTTCGCCTGCCCGCGTATACCGACCTAGCTAAATTAACTCGTACACAAGTCCGAGATGTACGCGATGACGACTTTCCGGTGCGCGTCGGCCGCAGAGAACAGACGCCCGGTGTGTTTCATTGTATTTTTGCGTGCAATTGCCTCAGGTATTTTTCCACGCCGCCGACAACCTACTTGTCACTTCCGTTGGCTATTTAAGTTGACACCCAGTATACTTGTGCGTTGCGTTCTTAACACATTTCGAAAGCCAGGATGTTTTATAATTTTCCATTACAGTAGACACAGAAATACGCATCAGTCGTGGTAGTCATCAGCGATCACCGCGACTCTACAGTTTGCCGCTGGAAACTGGCTGTCCGTAACCAGCCTTGGAATAGAGTGCTGTGCTTGGTTTTGATGGTATTTTGTAGACAATTTAAACGAATTTTGGTGCAAATTCTCTGAAATGCTTAGCCTCAGAATGACTGGATCCATCATGACCTAGAGAAAATGAACGCGTTCCATGCATGTATATATACGTACTTCACCTAGTTTTCTACAGTTGTGCACTGCAAGATGGGCTCCCTTATACAAGACAAGACACACAAGAGTCTTGTAAGTAGTCGAGATATTAAGTAGTCGAGATGCAACCATTTTTACGGACTCCCAAAATGCTAGATCCGCCACTGGCGCTGACTAATGTCGGCGCTCGAAAATTTTGTTACAAAAGATTACTTACGATTTTATACGTGCAAACTTTTGCTCGGACTAACATTTCCGCTATTCAGAAGCCTTTCCTGAGGAGCATTTTACCAAACGATCTTTATCCATACCGTAGATTGTTCACCGCGGACTTTTACCCACACGGATATCATGATGTCGTATTTAATCCTGACTACCGTAAGCAAACGTGCGTCTCCCTACAAATAATTGTCCGGCGCATTTTTTCTATATGTGTTTCATTCCGCAGCCCGTCGGTCATACTCTACATTAATGGTGAATGACATCAATGATTAATAAATATTTTGCGATCGCGTTACACCAAGGGGTCCATCGCCACGGCCTGAGAAATTGGCCGGGCGGGCAGCTCGTTAAACTTGGGCGATGACGCCACAAAGTCCCGCGGGTCTTCGCGGCGTCGTTACATGGCAACGTTGACTGCACCGCTTGGAGGGCAGAAGTCAAGCAGAAATGCTGTGGTTGGTCTTGTGTATTGTCGTGCAGCATAGCATTAAGTTTGCGTCGTAATATGGTCTCGGTGCGTTTTTTTACGCCGCGGATAGAAGAAATTCGAAGTGGTGTGTGAGCGTTGAGCCAGAGTCAGCAACGGAGGCCGTTTTTGGCAGCAAGATACCATCCTTGCTGTGGCCCCATGTAATAAATTTAAACGGCACAAGAAAGGCATTTCATTTTTCACGTTTCCGAAAAGGACCCAACCGTCCTGAAAACATGGGCGCATCGTCACCCTAGGTCTGACGCTATAGACGTGGAAAATGTGGTGAACTGCTCTAACCGTTTTCAAGGCAATGACTATGATCTTAGCTACCTAGTTAGGGCCAGTTTTGTGCCCGATATAAGGTCACGCCTGCGACCAGGTGCAGTTCCTTCGGTACTACTGGACATCACCGGCACACCGAAGTTAGCATGCATGTGCTTAAAAGGTAAATTTTCGTCCGTTTTATTACAAAATCTTTTTGAACCAAGTTCACCGTCACATATGCATGCAGAATCTATACCGCTCAGTGCTGTTTCAGGGCTTTCATGCAGGGTTTAAATGACATTTTCCAACCATAACCTGAGTTGCAAAGTGGGCCTGATTTCCACGCAGATGGCAGAACTATATACTGCTGCTAGTGATGAGGGGGTTCAGGGGCACATCCAGGATTTGCAACGGGTAGAGAGTTGCCATAGTGGCGATAGAAGGGGGGGATTTTTACGATTGCGCGGGATGTATCAATGACCTGTCTATGTTGGCTTGCCCTGGTATTTCAAACACTCTTTTTCAGCTGTTTACTGTACGTGTTCACTCGGCTATACGCGAGCGTTGTTACTTAATAACTGTTGTTGGGCTCTTCATGTTACTGTCCATTGTAGTGTCTGAGACCTCAAACCAAATTAGTCTCCCTGGTCACCCAATTCCGGACTTACAGACATCAATGCCTTGGTAAAAAAAACTGTGCCAACTGTGCCTAAAAACTAGGCCTTGACCAAACGGGCAGGAGAAGGGTCAAGGGAGACTCCATGGGCCTGGGAGGGCCGTGCTGTTTTTTTCGTGTATATTTTGGTGTGTATTTTTTGTATTTAATTTTTTAAAGGTGTATTTTTGCGTCGCAAAACAACGGTGGTGGTGTCAGCCCCCTGGGATGGACCTTGCACTGAAAAGGGACCATGAAGAGGGTCCATCCAGACAGAGTCATGATTATGGCCAGGAGTGCAACTAAGAGGGTGTGGGGGGAGGGGGTTCAGGCCAGGCGAGATGTTCTTCTCCCTGTCACCACAGAGAGCTCCGCTCGGAATGTTAAACACCGGTACGATTTGATCTCACCCAGGTCCTCTCCCTGTATTAAAAGTCCCCTTCTCAGATATCCGTGTTCTTGGCGGCACCAACAGGGCGCCTGATGCGGTGGAGGCGTGTCGGGGGATGCGGGTGCTGCTGGTGATGCCATCTCCGATGGTGCTTACCAGCAGGCAAGGCCGCGCCGTTCGACTGAAGCCTGACACAGCTGACTGACTGAAGCCTCAGCACAGGCCAGCGTCTGGATCAGCCAGACAATCCGACGAACGAAACCCTGCCTGCAGGGCCTCCAGATCCATGTAGTGTACGAACCATGCCCTGGATTACCACTGGTTTCCGATGATGATGAAAATGACGATGAATTCTAGTAATAGTTTGAAATACCTCAGGAACGCGGCTCACTGCGCAGAACACGGAAAGTCTGTTAAGACACTGTGAGGATATCCATGGTAATTTGGGTATGATTGCTTGTGTCCCCCCCCCCTCTCCTCCCCCAAATGGCCCAGTCTGAGCGGCCCATATACGACGCATGTCATGAACAAAACGCAAGTGCTAGATATTTGTATGGTGCACGCGGCGCAGTACTCGCGGGGCGTTCAACGCCCCTCTTAGCTGTGCTGATTACGTCAAGCTAGACCCCCAAAAAGCGTGGATGCATTTAAAAACAAGGATGAGCACATCTAGGTACAAGCCGCTTTGCTGTCGCCAGGACAAACAAAACTGCTGACGTAATAGAGTCTGAATAGTGCGCCCGTTAGGTACGTCGAAATAGCTGTGTTTCGCTGCGCCGCAGATCTTAGCTCCAACTGTCGTGGGAGCGGTAGCGGATGCGGACGATGAGGACACCGCCCTCCAGCCAGCAGCAACGATGTCTTCAGTGCCCGTCCTAAACAAAGTCGACGAGGACGACGCGGTCAAC